TCCCAGACAAAGTCTAGTGTATTACTGGGAGAAGAGGGAGGCAGGAAAGATCCCTGGCCACTCACGAAAGCTCATCCCCTGCCACAAATTGTGTTAGTCTTTAAGGCGCTACTGGACTCTTTTCTACTGATGAAGAAAGCGTTGGCTCTCTAAAGCTAATACCCTGAAGATCTTGTTTACCTCTAAGGTGCTACTGGATTCGATTCTATCACCTGGTTAATGGTTTCCCATTAAGTCTCCATTAAAAGGACAGGACTTTTTTTCTCCCCTCCAGGCAATGGTCTGGCGTTGCCAGCCTCCAGGCGGAGTCTAGAGCTCTCCTGGGATTACAACTGATCCCCAGACTACAGAGATTCGTTCCCCTGGCAAAAACGGGCAGTTTCGAAGGGTGGAGTCTATGGAACCAGATGCCTGCTGAGCGCCTTCCCCCTGCCCAAACCCCACACCTCTCCCAGCTCCACTCCAGGAATTTCCCAACCCGGAGTGGGCAACCCTAAATGTCTAAGACATCCCCAAACGTTAAGTGATGTTAGACACGTCGGATGGGGACTGGCCTCACCAACCGGGCAGCACGTCCGGAGAATGACAGCAGGTGTGACAGACAGCTGAAAGAGTGCGTTAATGTTTTGAAATGTAAAACACATACTAAGAATGTGAAGCCAGAAGCAAATCTGGCTCATGCCACAGGCTCTGATCACGAGGGCGTTTTCATCATGCTGCTGTGACCGTTCCTTGAACGGCCATGTAAACAGGAGGGTTTGAGCAGGGCTATTTTTGGGTAGGAACGCACAGGAACGGAGTTCCGGCTGGCTCCTGAGTTGGCCACACCCAGCAGGAGCTCATTAGCATCATAGGCCACACCCAATAGCAGGAACTCATTAGGACTGGCTACGTTAGGGGTGTGTGGCCTAACATGCAAAGGAGTTCCTGCTACAAAAAAAGGCCCTGGGTTTTGACAACAAACAAGGTAAACATAATAAGAAGGGAAAGGAGGGTGTGGCTGGATGAGCACACTTCTGGTAACATGGGGGTGTGGCCTAATGTGCTAATGAGCGGAGCTGTCAGGGTGTGGCCTATTATGCTAATGAGTTCCTGCTGGGCTTTTTCTACAAAAAGAGCCCTGGACTTTTGAGCACCTTGTTCTTGGACTACAAGCCCCAAACAGACTGCGTCACGGAAGAACACAGATTGGGTGTCCAAGTACTGAGCACACCACATGAGGCTTCTTTTGGCTGCACAGAGGGTTGCCAGCCTCCGGGTAGGACCGGGAGATCCCCCGGAATTACAACAGATCCCCAGGCTATAGAGTTCCGTTCCCCTAGAGAAAATGGCTGCTTTGGACAGAGGACTCTATGGCATTATACTCTGCCATAGTTTGGTGTCGAGGTTAAGTGTGCGGACCACTGGGAGTGTGCGGACCGCTGGGAGAACCGGTTTTGATTCCCTACTCCTCCACTTGCACCTGGCTGGATGACCTTGGGCAAGCCATAGTTCTGACCAGGGGTCATTTCGTAGAAAAAGAGGTGCAGGAACTAATTAGCATAACTCATTAGCATAAATTATTTGCATATACCACACCCCCTGACATCACCTGAAGTGTGTCAGAAGGCAACACCCACCGCTCAGACTTCACTGGAAAGTTTTGGATTGCTAGCTATTGGGGGTGGGGGGGAACGTGCAGATCTGTCCTCGCAGAGGAGAGAGAGCTTGTACCTGAATAAAACTTGGTCTTAAAGGTGCCACTGGGCTGTTTTGGACAAGAGGGCCGGGGGGGGTGGGCTCTGCAACTTACCTGGCTGCTTCTTGCTCTGACTGAAGGCTGCTGGGAGCAGGGGGTGGGGCTTGTTGCATGTGCCCGCCCCCTGGGCTCTTTACTGCCGGAGCTCTGCTCCTGTGCGCTCCTGCAGGAAATGACCCCTGGTTCTGACAGGACCTGTCCTTGAAATGGCAGTTCTCGAAAGAGCTCTCTGAGCCCCACCTACTTCACAGGGTGCCTGTTGTGGGGAGGGGAAGGGAAAGGAGATTGTAAGCCGCTCTGAGACTCCTTTGGGTAATGAAGGGTGGGGGGTAAATCCAATCTCTTCTCTTCTTCTTCTGGTCACCAGTGGAGACCTACATTTTTGGGACCCTGAAGCATGAACTGTTACGGGGGCCTCCTCTCAACCAGTAACTATAGGGCAACACTGCCGCAAGCCCCTGACACAATTTTGAAATTTGACCAACTACAGGGATATTTTGAGGTCATATGAAACGGGCATTAGAGCATATTCGAAGGTCAGTATTAGGTAGTTTGACCCATTGGCTTAGGATTCTGTCACTAAAATAGCCTTTTTTAAATAATAAACACTTAAATAAAAAACCCTCCATCAATGTTGTTGAAAAATTCACTCATTAAAAAAAAGCTTGCTTCAGGACCCCACCAGGATTAGAAGAGAAGAAGAGGAAGAGATTGGATTTGTACCGCGCCCTTCACTACCCAAAGGAGTCTCAGAGCGGCTTACAAACTCCTATCCCTTCCCCTCCCCACAACAGACAGCCTGTGAGGCAGGTGGGGCTGAGAGAGCTCTGGCAGAAACGGCTCTTTTTCAAGGACAGCTGTGACAGAACTATGGCTTGCCCCAGGGTCATCCAGCAGGTGCAAGTGGAGGAAAAGAAGAAGAGATTGGATTTCTACCCATCTCTTCACTACCCAAAGGAGTCTCAGAGCGGCTGACAAACTCCTTTCCCTTCCCCTCCCCACAACAGACAGCCTGTGAGGCAGGTGGGGCTGAGAGAGCTCTGGCAGAAATGGCTCTTTTTCAAGAACAGCTCTTATCAGAACTATGGCTTGCCCAAGGTCATCCAGCAGGCACAAGTGGAGGAGTGGGGAATCAAACCCGGTTCTCCCAGATTAGAGTCCGTGCATTCAACCACTACACCACACTGGCCCTGAAGCTTAAGCTTCATTAGTTTCACAGTAGATACACCCCAGGGGTGTCACTTTCCTCTCCGAATCCTGCCCTTCCCCGCTCCACCACAAATCTCCAGAGCTGGCAACCCCTAGGTACAGCATACATTCAATCAACATACAAAGTCACAAACGGTTACCATTTGCAGATCCTCATGAATCAAAGGCTGTGTGGCTCTCCTCATCAGCTGATCCACACTCCCCTGCTCTTGCAAAATCATCAGCTTTCTTGTGGGGGGCGCAATATCCAATGTGGTCAGAGTGTCCCGGTAGCTCTCAAGCTGCTTCTGTATAGTCGATTTGCTCAGCTTCTTCACGGGATCCACAAGTAACTTCCTTTTACCTCTTTGCTTCCTTTTGAGGACTACGTATTGGAAACATTTGAAAGGGACACATGACCGGCCAGCCTGAGGAATCTTCAGCACACACAACGGGCTTTTCCATGCTATTGTTTTCCTCGCTTGTGTGTTCCTGTAGCTTCGGATATTTTACTGTTTCGTGCATGTTTTGCTCCCTATAGTGGTCAATTTGACATTACATCAATTTAAGTCGGGCATGTCTCCCTGCAGATTTAAACTGGATGTTTTTATGCGGGACATAACCTGGTGCAATACTGAACCGACCACTAGAGGGAACCCACACATGAACACATGAAGCTGCCTTATACTTAATCTGACCCTTGGTCTATAAAGTCAGTATTATCTGCTCAGCTTGGCAGCGGTTTCCCAGGCCCTCAGGCCCAGAAAGGCCGTTCACACCACACATGAATACATGAAGCTGCCTTATACTTAATCTGACCCTTGGTCTATAAAGTCAGTATTATCTGCTCAGCTTCCAGGCCCTCAGGCACAGAAAGTTCTTTCACATCACCTACTGCCAGATCCTTTAACTGGAGCTGTCGGGGATTGAACCTGGGACCTTCTGCATGCCAAACAGATGCTCTGCCACTGAGCCATAGCTCCTCCTGAGCACAGGTGAAACAGTAGCAACAGGAACACACAACTGAGGGAAATGAGAATGCAGAAAAGCCACAGCTCAGTTCTTCATCATGTTTGCAAGCACATAATAAAGGTAAAGGTTTCCCTTGCTCGAAAGCCAGTCGAATCCGACTCTAGGATTGCGGTGCTCATCTCCGTGTCAAGGCCGAAGAGCCAGAGCTGTCTGAAGACGTTTCCGTGGTCATGTGGCCGGCATGACTAAACACCAAGGCGCACGGAACGCTGTTTCCTTCCCACCGAAGTGGTACCTATTTATCTACTTGCAATTTCTTGCTTTCGAACTGCTAGGTTGGCAGGAGCTGGAACTAGAGATGGGAGCTCACTCCGTCATTCGGCACCCGGGTCTCGAACTGCTGAACTACCGACCTTCCACAACCTGCAGTTCAGCGTCTTAACCACTTGAGCCACCGCAGAACCTAAGCACATAATAGGGTGAAGCTATTTTAGTGTGCAAGAACGTAAATATAAACCTACAAGAAATGTAAAGACAACGCCTCTTTTGGGAATGCAGGGACGGGGCTATGACAAAAGGACCAAGTAAGTTGTGATGGAAGTAACAGTATTGTGACACTTTATTCCAGTATCAGCTTTTGTAAGTCAGAGCTCACTTCTTCAGACACAATGGGAAGAAAGAAAATATCTTCCTAATTTTTTACAGAAAATTACAGGAAAGGAGGGGGAGAGAGGGCTGAGAGAGGGCTAGTACAATAAATCAGGTGAAACTCTCTATGTGGAGACTTGGACTGCTTGGGTGAAGGGAGAGGTACATAAACATTTTTATAGTCTAGTTCAGGGGTGTCAAACTCATTTGTTATGAGGGCCGGATCTGACATAAATGAGACCTTGTTGGGCCAGGCCATGTGTGTCATAAAATGTAATGACAGGTAGCGGAGATATAAACTTTATAAAGGACACAAACAAAAAGGGTTTTTTTTACTTAAAATAAAAACATGCTTAAAACATTAGCACTCTTGCAATATTTTCTTTATTTAACAGTGTCTGATCACTGACCCCTCTCGCTCTGAATGATTGCATCAGAATGTCTGTGCTGTTGCAATCTTGAGTGTGCTGCGGGCCTGATGGAAGCCCTCCGGGAGCCTGATCTGGCCCCTGGGCTGCATGGTTGACACCCCTCATCTAGTTATTTCTTATCTTGGAATGCCCCTAAATTTCCATTGTCAGAGTTTGAGTCAATTTTAATTGCTAGGCTTCATACAATACATGTCTTGGATCATTAGCTACAGTTCCGATTATTTTACTTCAAAGATAAAAGATGCCAAAGCAAGAAAGGTATTCATATGCACCTGCAAATTTTTGATAGTCCTTTGTTATAAACTTCTAGAAGTATTTTATTCTTTGGGGAAATGACTGAAGTTTGTGGATGGAATCCAAATACTTTAAATTTCGATAAGCATCTCTCATGCATTGGGCTGCATTAAACACAGGATCGTAGCTGTCACCTGTGCGAATTCAGTGGGACTTTTCACTTGTTTTGGAGGCAGACAGTGATCCAATGTGATAACTGATTTGTTTCTTATAAACTTTCTATTTACTGGTCCTGTATGTTTTTTCTTCTATCAGTACTTTCTTGCATAAATAAAAGAGTTAAAATTTAGTTCAATAAAGCAATTGAAGTTAAAACATTTCTCCTTGGCCTGGTGAGAGCTGAGCTTCAGAGCGCCAATAAATTACACTGTGCTGTCAGAATCAGCTACCTCTCAGAGGGAGTCTGATTTATCAGACCTGACAGTAAAAAGTTTTATTGCTCTGTGTTCAGTCAAAGAGGTGCTCAGGTTTCCATATGGTTTCACTCAGGGTAATAACTTAATTCCAAATGGACTCAACAATTTGTTCCAACACTTCACCATAAAATAAAATGCTTTTCTTTGCCATTAGACATGTATTTTATTACAAAAGAGAAATTGGACAAATCTCACCTGTGTTATCAATTGGTTCAAGTACAAATCCTTGTTCGTCACTGGACAATAATATGGTTTCGTTAATTTGGCAGCTTTTTGCTTCCCAATTAGACCTGTGGTAGTCTGTAAAATACCCATTCATAACCAGTCAGAACGTATGCTGCAATATACTACACATAATATCTGTGTTGATAGATCAAGAAGAAGAGAAGAGATTGGATTTATACCCCGCCTTTCACTACCCAAAGGTGTCTCAGAGCAGCTTACAAACTCCTTTCCCTTCCCCTCCCCACAAACAAATGAAAAAAACCTGGCTAGAATGTACATTCAGTTTGTTTTTCCTCGACAAGTGACACAAATGGTGCACGAGAGGATCCAATGCAGTCTCATTTGTGTGTGGCCAGCCATTCTAGTGTAAGGCGCTTGCTAAAAAGAATTCAAAACAAACTCACCTGCGAGATCTGCAGCAGGAAGCTGTTGGGGTAAAAGAACGTCTTCCTCTGTGTCTATAATGAAGATATCCTTCTCGGTTCCCAGAACATCATCTTTAAAAAAAATGTATCACTTGCATTACAGTTAAGGCCCATTGTAATCCCCTTTTTTGAGTACATTAAAATGTAATATAATCCAAGTATATTCGAGTTGAAGTAAGAAAAATGACCAAGCCTTGCCACAGCACTGCAGTCATAACCAGGGGTCATTTCGTAGAAAAAGAGGTGCAGGGGCTCATTGGCATAGTTCATTAGCATAACTCATTTGCATGTGCCACACCCCCTGGCATCACCGGAAGTGTGTCAGAAGGCGACACCCACCGCTCAGGCTCCACTGGACTGTTTTGGATGGCTAGCTATTGGGGGGGG